TTAGACATTGCATTCATTTGAAACAAAATATATACTAATGAGATTGGATACTGCAAGTATACATTTCATTTACGAGAAACATATGTAACATTGACTTTAGAAATTATTTGATTATTATGTCTGCTATCTGCTCAATGTTGCAAGCAGACAACTGCATTGTACACTTAGTGTAAATTACCTGAAATGTAAAGTTAAAACTGTGAAACACAGGAACGTTTCTCATCCAAAGTCCCCGTGCGATCTCTAGTGTTCACTTGGTAATACATGTGTATTACAAAGTATAGGGTGTTTTCAACTCCCCACGTGAGTGTTAACGTTTCGTAAAAAGTACAAGTTCCTGTATAAGGTAATGTTGTTCTTTTTGCGAAAGACTCTAAAAGTAATGAAAGGACATTTTTTATTTACATTTATTTCGATAACAAACAAGTGTTTTTGACATATAAATAAATTTGTTTGCACAAAACTTGTGTGTATTACGACCCCCCCCCTAAAAACTGTTTTTTTAGTAGTACATTTTAGGGAAAAATAATGCCTTTACCATTCACAGACATATTATAATCTTTTATAAATTATATATTTTCCGGGTAGTACATATGCTAGTTATTCAATATCAAACAGTTCAATGACAAAATACATATTTTTTAATCCAACAAATGGTTTATATGGAAAACTTGACCAAATACACACACAAACTGCAGTTGGTAAAAGAAATATATTATTTACATTGTATAACTTAAAATAAATAACTCTTTCATATTGGAAACAGTATACAGTAAAATAAAAACAAGCCCATGGGGCGTAGCCCAAGGGAAATATGAAAATTAAATGATATTATATTGCATTGTCTTCCATTTGTGGGCTATGTTTCAAGTTTCAAGTCTCTAGCTCATCGGGAAGTTAGTATAAAATTGATTGCAAAATTTGTACCGGACAAGAAAGCGAGCTAATAAAAACGTTTTAATAAACTTAAATAACAACAATAAATGTTATTTACCAATTATTAGTGTTAATACAATTAATTATAACAAATATGTAATAACGGGGTGTCAAAAACACCCCACGCGAGTACATACGTTAGTAAAACCCGCGCGAGTAGTTAAAGGTTAAAGTACCTTTAGCATAGAAGTAAGAAGTATATCAATTAATTAATCTGTAAGTATATAACAAAATTACATAATCGTTTGACAGGCGACGGTAGGTATATGGATACAATGATGCGGCAAAGGCTGCTGACAGTATTACAGCGGAGCGGACAACGCAGGAACTTGTGGCGCTGACTGTACTACACATTCCACTTGGAGATATGAGACTCGACTCAACTTTTGGAGTTATGACACTCTGCTTTAATTTTTACTTGGACTTATGAAACTTTGGAGTTATGATATCTTGGACTTATGAAACTTTGGAGTAATGATCACTTGCACTTATATTTTTCTTGGAGTAATGAAATTATCCCTTTTCGGGTACTTGTAGTTTTGAAACTTTGGATTAAATATAATTTGGAGTTATGATCTCTTGGACTTATGAAACTTTGGAGTTATGATCACTTGGAGTTATGAAATCTTGGAGTTATGAGATGATCCCTCGATGGGTGAACTAGGTTGAATCTCTTACTAAACAGCTGCTTGTTTGCATCAGCTAAATTGAAAAATAAATGTACTAGAAGTTCTTTTGATAGGTTTATCTTTACATGCAAATGTTTTTGTTTTCTAACTTACATTGCCTAAATAATTTGACAAAAAATATAGTTCATCAAACGGGAAAAAGGTATCTTTTCGAACTTGGACACAGGTTGAAAAGAGTCACTATACTGATGATGAAATATACTAAAGATAGATTGTATACAATTATTGTCCCTCGATAATCCATCGTAATTCCTGCAGCCTTATTGAGAGAAACAAAACTAGCCTCTGAGACAGATCCCCCTCCCTCCAGACTATAAATTCATATATTTACTAGCAAAGTACCCGTCCTTTGTTCGGGGTTACGTATAAGTATAAAATGCTTATTGCAGTTATACTCGTGCTTTGCTTTTGCAATTGGTGAGGACATGGTTTAAGAAAATTTAGTTTTTTTAATTTACGGTATGCTATAGTATAGCACATCTACCATAGCCATAATTTTTTATCACCGCCCCTATAAAAAAAGTGAAATTGCCCATTTTTTGCAGCTTTTTGTTGCCATAGTTGGTTCAAATTAGATGTCATAAATGCAAAAAAAATTAATAGTTCCCGCACCCTTTGGTGTAAACCTTATAACTTTTTAATGCTATTAATATCATAAAACCAACTTGTGTAGTTGAAACAGCTGACAAAATTCTCAAATTTCTGTTAAAAATATGAATACTCATAAGGTTAACATGGGAAACTCCAGAGCCACAGGGGCGGAGTCCGAAATGATTTTTGAGATAAGAATGCGGCTATATGTTAATCGGGAATGTGAGCTATCATCATACAAAATTTCAACCCAATCCGACCAGTATTTTTCACTTTTACTTGTCACAAACATCTATCTATCCATCCATTCATCCTAAGTTTCACACTTATAATATTAGTAAAATTTTACTTACTTTCCATTTATTTAAAAACAAGAAATGTTCTTCTGTAGAGTATTTACTTTGCATGTTATTATTTATGTTGTTTGTGATGATGACTTAAAAACAAAAAAATGTTGTGGATTCAAATAAAGTTAAACACAATGCCTTCAATAGGCCAACGGAGAAAATTAATGATTGATTCAATGGTTTTTATATATAAACATTTTTTTTATAATTTCCATGCTATCCTACTTTTTTGCTCTTCTGACTTTATCATGGATAGTTTAGGTAAGATAATCAAGACTCTACTGTAAATTTCAATATGACGCCAAGTTCACAAAACCTTTCCTTCACATGAGCCCAATAGCATAGCATAAATTCTTACATATTTCTTCATCTGTTTAAAAAATTTAAAATTTTTTTGTTATGCTCTATATACACATATAAACAATATGAATGTATAAGCTAAAATTTACTTTTTTGTCATACTGCAGCAAAAACAGTCATTTTCAATACATTCATGTCTCTTAACCTTTTTAACATGCTTATTCAAATCAAAACCTTTGAGATTTTTAGCTGTCACCAATATATTAGTTATTTTTATGTTATGTTGGACTATATACTCTGAAGATTACTACTACTTTACTATATTTATAATATTAGAAAGGAGGTAGAAATGGTTGAAGTTAACTTACATTTGGCAACTCGCCCAATAATCTTCTCTGATTATTCTTAAGTTCCCTAGTTGGTTAGTGTTAAGGCTAGCACACTGTTCAATTTTAAAATAACTAATCTCCTATGTCCAGTCACAAAGATTTAAATAGTAAATATCTGTTTCTGTGATTGTGATTATCTTCTGGCTGTGCCAGTGCGATTATGGATTTTATTACTGACTCATCATTGAAGATAATAAATAAGTGAAACGCAATTGAAAAAGTATAATATTATTCAACTCGCTCAGTTATTAAAGACCTTGCAGAGAGTTTAAACAGTGTCAATGAGGTAGACTAAGTGAAAAGTTGCTTTTTTGAGAATTTAACAGGTTCAGGAAGCAATATATTTACTTATGGAAATTTAATCTTAGATATTCACTCAAAAATCAATCATATGGATATTTCTACCAACATTTCTAAGGTGTCTTTTGAATGAGGAATATTATCCAAGGGTGCCATGTTTTGCTTTTGCTCTATCTAAAGTTTGCTATAGTATTATTTTGAGGGTCACTGTACTCTTGTACATGAAATGCACATTATTTAATAGTATGAACCATCATTAGGGCGTAAAATTACTCAAATTTTCTATAGTAAAGGCTCAAGTTGAACAACTGTAAAATTTGGTACAAAATTTACCAGAATTTATTATAGAAACCACAAAACTGCATTGTTTTATTTTTATTTGCAACAATACAACAAATAGTTGTCACTATTGGGCTGGTCTCCCTCAGTCCCCTTCAGTTTGATCTCAGTCTAGTGGCAGTAACAAAAGACCTTTGCGGCAGCCAACTTCTTTTTTAAGAAAGCTCTGGTAAAAGTTGACTATGCCAGTGACTAACACGCCTACTCTTCGGTTTTAGAGCTAGCTAGTGTGTAAAGTAGCCCAGTGTTGAACATACACACAATGGGGGAAATTGCTTGTGCGCATGTTGTTCAAAGATGTTGGAGGAGTTGGTTCTAGCGGGAGTTAAGTAATGTTAAGATGGCAAGATTAGAAACGGAAAAGGTGGAAAGTGTGAAAAGGAAGACGTACAGATTATGGTGCATCAAATACATTATTGATAAAATATAAGAAGTACCGGTAATATGTTTTTTCTACAGGTACCTGACAAAGCGGGCTTTCTTGTACTGGTTATAGCACGCAAAGTAGCCAATTGCTGCATTTACTTACTTTTGCCGCACTCCAGTATTCCAACCAAACAACAAAAAAAAGTGTGCTTTTATTAGGCACGTAATACGGGAGTACGCTTGAAAATAAGTTGGCTACACTTAAAGATACCACACTACGACTACGATCAGCTGGTACAGAATGTTCCATTAAATTCAACCTAATCTAAAATGTGTTGTTAGTTGTTTGGAAGACTAATTATTTCTATGCTTTATATTATCTGTAGGAAAAATATCATTTGTAACACAAGCACAAAGTGCCTTTGCTACACTCGAGAAATGTTCCGCACTCGCCCGAGGCTTGTGCAAAAACATTTCTCTCATGTACAACAAAGTGCTACTTTGCACATTAGTTACACAAATAACTATAGATCAATGATTGGATAGTATTGCATTTGCATACTTATATGTACCGGAACATCCAAAAACATTAATTAGATAAACTTTTTGAGTATTTTTTAAACTCCTAAAAAACAATAGAATTGAGGAATAACACTACCAACAGGGCCTTTTGTTACCACCTTACCTTCCTGTTCTAGGTATTTCAAGAAGATAATAATAAAGAAATGAAGAAAAAGACCATATAAAACGTAAATTTGTTTTATTTTTACACAATAAAAACTAATGAATTAACTTTGGCAGGCTACAATATACAATTTATATAAACAGTCATATATTACAAACTATACAGTTATATTTACACATTAAAGTACAGAGGTAAAAATTGAATTTAAATCCAGTGATGGCAACAATAATTTAACTTAAGCTAAAATCTTTTTCCATTCTAATCTTTATTCTCAGATATTACATGGTCCCAATACCGGTTTGAATAATCATCATAAAAACAAAAATGAAAACAATCTTATGAATGATATAATTTTTAACCAAGGGGTAAACTTTCTTGAGTAGGCTACTACACAATTCACAATTTATAACTGATGACCTCCAATATAAAGCTACTGATAGTTAATTCTTTTGGCACTAGCGATAATGATCTTATGAATGACCTGTACCTTATAAAACTTATAAATCGTTGCTGTTGTAATTAGTTTTGTTGTATCACTGAGAAGTGAGGTAGAGAGGGAACATGCAAGACTCTGTACCCTGTGCTATGGCCTCTTCCTTGCTCCTCACAACTATATTTCCTCCCACAACGTACCAGAGCTGAAAGCTCACGGGTCTAAGCAAGTTTCCTCTCTACCTTACTTCTCTGTGATAGTAAAATCCTTAACACAAATCACATATCTGAATTTCAAATAGTTACCTTCAGTGCTTTTTCAAAACTGAACAGAGAATTAGCTTAAAATAGTGTGTGCTATAAAATATTAGCAGGGATTTCTTTTGAAAAAAAAATTAGTTTTAAACACAATAGGCCTACTGGAAGGCTATGATAAAATTCAAGTGTCATCAATTACTTTCAAACTCCATAATCTCGCATAATTTTCACATAGCTGTGAGTGGAAGGTCTGCAAGACGGAGACAGGTTTATTGCCTTAGAGATCCTTCCATCTTCTAGTTAGAGGGACCTAAAGCTTAAGAAAGGCTCTAACCACTGGTCGATGAGTTACCTACCGGTATCACATTGATTAAAGCAGTTGGGCAATAATTTGTTAGCAAAAACTCAGTCCACTCAAACAGAAGGCTTGAGTTCTAACCATCAAACCAGGCGTGCTGTTAAAACGCAAACTGAATTAAATGAGTCAAATTTATACCATTCTGAATTTTTGTAATATGTGGAAGAAATTAAGAAATACTTATTCATTTATCACTGGGGCGTATGTCGCCCTCTCAAAATCAAACAAAATTTAAACTTTAAAGATCTAACACAATACAAAATCTTAGAGGAATCCTAACATTTAAAAGTGCAAAACAAATTTTACAAACTTACAAAGAAGTACAATAGGTTGTTAAAAATAACAGAATATATATTCGATAAACACAATAAACAAATAATACAATATACATGCTTACAAAATACCTACATGGAACAGTGTTTACATTTAATAAAACAAAAAAAGACTAGCTAAAACAAATTTATACAGGTTTAAATTTTAGGCTTAAAAAAAACATGACAATAAGTCATACAAGTTGTTAAAAAATTTTGGATACCAAATATTTAGTAGTTGAACCATAATTCTTTACACAGTTAAAATTATTGACCTAAAATATAATTTATATGAAACGATTAACACATTTAAAAAATAATCCATGCTGATTCATTTACGACAATAGCCATAAAGCTGCCTTGAGGGACACCATAACAAATACAAAATTTGTAATATTAACTTTGTTGCTATTTTCTTTTTAAGCCTAAAATAACACATCAGTGGTGGAATGTGGACGGGACTAGAGTGAAGGCACTGCTTCAGAGACCGACCAGCTCACAGAACAACTCCCTCGACTGATTAGTTCAGCGACTAAACTTTGGCTTTGGTGATGTTTGTGCTGTTCTTATGAGCTTGATCAGTTCAATAACTGACTGGTAGATCAGTTCTAGCTCTTGTGATGATGGTTCGAGCTATTCTTCTGAGCTTTTTTCTTTCTTGCCGCCAACATGTCGTAGAACGGATTGTGACTGATGCTTTGACTGAAAAATGTTTTTATTAGTGTTATGTTTTAAATTCACACAACTGTAGAACAATGCATACTCGGCAATAGCATTAACTTTGGAAAATCATTGAAACATTGTTATTCAAATAAATCACAGTATGCTACAGTGCTATTGTTTTCATGAGTTGACCATTGGCTTGGTTAAAAACTAATTATATGTATACAATAGTAATCAGTTAAACTGGCAACAACAACTGGCAAAATAATTTGTTCGTTAGAAAGAAATCAGTATTTGACAGCAGCACTGGCTTTTTACCCTAAAATTGATTGTTTAGTGATTTTTAAAGTAATCCTCTTGGCCTTATCAATATGAGGATTTTTCAAAACATGAGAGGGCGCACAAGAATTTATATGAGAGCCAGTCAAAATGCTTTATGCAACCAAAAGGGCAAATAGAATCATGATAACGGCCTGCATTTAAAGGATAAAAAAATCACTTGGCGAGAAAAATTTATCAAAAACAAGATAAGATGTGAGTAATATAAACACCAAGAACCCTAATATATTGCGTTTTTCGTTCAAAGCTGTGACAGAAAAAGAACTTTAACTATAACATATCAAATATTCGTCTTTGGGAGATGAACACATAATTGAACAGGTGTAAGGGCCGGCCGGTGATTTTGGATGTGTTTCAATAATACATCTACAGCTCAAGTTACAATTTAATTCTTGCATGGTAGTTTGCTCTTGAATGAGAGGTAAATTGGATTTTGCTCCAAATGGGAATTGCTGCAGCACATCCCAAACTTTGGATACTTATTTTGCCATTTCAACCATGTGGACTCTTAACACATTCGCTGCGGCACGTCAAATGGCAGGCGTATCCCCAGTGCAACACAGCCCGCAGCGTCGAACAAACCCGATTGCCGCGTGTAATTGGCTTTCCAATTTCGGTCTGACAAAAAGCAAATAACGTGCGGGGATGTCCTGCTTTACGACGAGAGTCGACGTAGTTCGCTAAACACCCACAGATAGCAGCACTGCTTGGATCGTAGCCGGTCCCATTCAAATTATATTGCCAATTGGAGGGAAAAAGACGGGACAAAAAGTTGATTATTAGCTTGCCAGAGGGAGATTTTACAGGGAAATTTACTACCAACCTACACCACAACAAAATGCAAGTCACACACTACACGCTAATGTGGTATAGGTCCGCTTTCGACCGACGCTAGAGCAAAAACGAAAATATACAAAAGGCATTGCCGGGCGTTCTTGATCGGGTATGGACGCACTGTACGGGGGTCGAGCATCGTACTCGATCGGAAACGGCCACACTCAATGTGTTAAAGACCACGGAATTGACAATCTAATTTGACCTTGTAAGTGTAAGCCAACCTCAATTCAATTCAAAGATACTTTATTCACATATATACCTGGTATAACTATATATATACCTCCTGCTATAACTCTCTAGGCTTTTTTATGTTGTTTAGTAAAAATGTGGGTAAAATAACAAAAATCAAACAAATAACTTACCCAACACACTTGATCCATTCGTCCCTCTCTTCCGCCGTCGCGGCAGACATTCTGTACACCGTGTGTTTTCCTGAAAAATTGTATATTAATGAGTTTTATAACTTTATTGAACAAATACTAACAATCTAATGGACTTATTTACATTTTTTATGGATTATTTTTTTAATGTGTTAAGAGGGTACATGATGTGAAAATAATATCCCTTATTCAACTCATGTTTATAGGGTGGAAAAATTATTGAACATACACATACTGATAGCCAGGTACACATGGCAATACAAGTAAAAACGGTTTACATAAAGACAAATAGTTATCTCCTCATCTGGATGGATAAAATCTTGGAGGGCAACTCACACACTTCATGGTAAAAATATTTAAAATTTTAAACATATACATAGGACAATTATTTTTACACCTCAAACATTGAAATAGGCTGAATACAACAACAACGAAAAACTACGTTTGAATCACTGCTTACAAAATTGGTCACAAACTACTGCATTACATCTACAATGCAGTATTTTATAATCAACGCAAAACCCCTGGTTTCTATTAACCTCAAACTACAATATACAGTTGGGTTTTGACAATCAAATTTTCAGTTATCTAGTTTAGGCACCTAAACTTTACTGTATTTTCCGATTACGATTAAGTGAGCTGCCACACAGTTTGTAAAATACTAATACAGCCCGCCCTCGCTAGTCCGACAGGTACGGGACTGACGCAGTGTCGGATTTTCAAAAACGTCGGATTATCGAAAATGGCTATTCTGTAATGCATTTGATTGCCAAAAAGATATAACTATCATTTTAAACAATATATTAATCACTATTAAATTCTTGGGAAGAATTAAAAACACAGAATAAAGTAAACACAATTTTAATTTATGTAGCTAAACTTATTTTACAGTATTTACAAACAGTACTGTACGTACATCCCAAAAAATACGCATAAAAGTAGGCCTACAGTACACAATTCATTAAAAAAGTAGGCCCTTGTAAAATTAATACATACGTGTTTCAGCACGGTATTTAGTTGTTAAAAAAGTCTGTGATTGACTTCTGCTTCTTTTTTTGTACACAGTCCATCATTGCTGCTTCTTGCAATCCTTTTAAAACTAAAACTTTTGTCATGTCCACATCTCTCTCTTGGCACCAACGTAACAAAGTATTAGCAGCCGATACAGCGTCATCACAGCTGACGGTGAAGGTTTTTTCTGGCGCTGCGTCCTCGATCACGTCGTCATCAGCTGCTGTAACTTCTTGGATTATATCTGCGTCTGTCACGTCAGCATCAAGGTTGTCCTCCATGATCCATGTCCTAAGCTCTTCAACTGATGCGGGGGCAAGTTGCACTTCGTTACAAAGTTCCAATGTAGCCTCCAAAACGGGTTCTGGGTCGCTGCTGGATGTAGGATTACATGTTGTAAGACATGGATTGTTAGGCCATACATTTTTCCAAGATTTGATCAAAGTTGTGCTTTTTACTTGTTGCCAAGCATATGCAACATTCAAAATGGCGTCCTTAATGTTGAAATCCGTCCTTTCAAAATCGCTGCAATATCAGCAACAGGTTGACTGACAACATCCATAAGAATGCGCTTTTTGTAGTGAGCTTTGAGAGTTCTTATCACATTTTGATCCATGGGCTGGATTAAAGCTGTGGTATTTTTTGGTAGGTACATAGCTTCAATGTAGCCATCAGCAGTTTTGATTTTCAATTCATCAGCATCAGGATGTCCTGGCGCATTATCCAGTAAAAGAAGGGCTTTCATTGGTAACTTGTTCTTCTTTAATTCAGCCTTAACTTGTGGAACGAAGCTGTTAGTGTACCAGTCATGAAAAACTTCTTTTGTGACCCAAGCGCGACTTTGTGACTTGTAAGTTACTGGCAGAGATTCAACCTTGACATTTTTGAATGCTCGAGGGTTTTTTGATTTTCCTACAACAAGCAGTTTTAAAGCATGAGTGCCTGATACATTAGCACACACCATAAGCGTGAGTCGTTCTTTTTGCAATTTCCTTCCAGACACTTTTTTTTCCTCATCACTTACAAATGTTTCTGCCGGGAGCTGTCGCCAATTCAACCCGGTTTCATCGGCGTTGTACAGTTGCTCGGGAACTAAACCAAGCTCAGTAATTTTTTTGTCCAACATTTCAATGAACGCATCAATCTCAGACTTGTCAGCAGATACCTTTTCACCACTCATCTTCATAAACCGTATACCATGGCGTTTTTTGAAGTTTTCGAACCATCCATGACTAGCTCGAAAATCATCCTTCTTTGTTATTTCTGTGTAGAAATATTGCGCTTTTTGTTTAAGTATGTCTCCGGAAATAGGAGCATTCCACGCGTTGTTGTTTAAACCAAATGAACAGTGCTTCTTCCACCTCAGGAAACTCGCTTGTTCTCAGTGTTTTCCTGTTTAAAGCGTCGTCTTCAACAGACTTCATAAACCCTTCAATTTTTTCTCTCTTCTTCATTACATCATAGATCGTAGGCCGTCCGATGTCATAACATAGCTACTGCAGTCGGCGTTTCACCGCTATCTATTCTTTTAATAATCTCCCACTTCTCCGATATTGTTAAAGTTTTGTGTTTCCGTTTAACACCACTTGTACTAGCAATTTCACACAACTACTGTACTGTACTGTACACGAACACTTGCACTTACTAACAAAGGTACGACTGCAACGGAAAAGTGAACTGCACGTCTCGAAAGTCAACTGAACACTGAACGGAAGGGCTCCGTCGGCAACGAGACGTGAGTCACAGTGTTTCATGTCACTGCATGCTTATTTTTGCTCCCGTAGCGGCGCCTGACGGCGCGTCGGATTACCGAGTACGTCGGATTTCAAAGCGTCGGACTAGCGAGGGCGGGCTGTACCTGCATACCTCTCTTTATTAGTGGCAAAGCACAAGGCCACAACAAAGCAACAGCTTAGGCAATGTTGCTAAATGAACAAGATTTTGTATCTTATTTTACAGTTATGAAAGAAGGGTTTTGATATGTCGGTTATTTTTACCTTACGACTTCAAAACCAAAACGTTAGTGGCTTAAAAAGAAAACGAAAGCATTAAAAAGAGGTTGAAAGGTTTTTCAAAATGTTTACAATAGTTGTTATTATTTTCCTATCTGATTTTTCCACTTTTCTGAACTTACCGCAGCGGATTTAGGTTGGGCAATCAAAACTCTACTGTAAACTGAGCTTTCAATTCTTCAATCAAACTACAATTAAATTTCCCCGAATTTCCAAAGTACTTGTGATTAAAACACCCACCTTCCACCACTTTTCCCTCGCTGTCAGTCTTGCACGCCTTGATGAAGTCCGTCCCCATCGCGTACAGCTCCAGACAGTAAGGTTTGTGCCGATCTGTGGCCTCTCTCACCTGGATGTTCTCCAGTGGGATGATCCCCCGAGGCTCCTTGTCTGTCGTGTACTCAAAGTAGTACAGACAGTTGTCGTTGAGAATGAACCACCGTCGCTTCCAACTCTTGTAGCGTCCACCTGTCGAAAATTGTGGGTTCAGTATCTGTGCTTAATAGTGTTCCGTTGATTCACTACACTGATTTTTCAGGTTGAAATGTTATTATTTCCTATAAATCCTGTTAAGGGTTAATTTAGATCAGGTTATTTTAGGTTGGGTTAGGTTAGAACCAAGGCATAGTTTAAAACGTCATTTGTGTAATGTTACCTGACTGATGAAGCCGCTGATCTAGTCAGTAAAAATGCTACACAGATAATCTCACAACATTCTACACTCATCCTTCACTCATATTTGGGTTAAAATAAGCATCTGTGCTGTGATGGGGTGTTCCCGTGTACATTGTGAGTATTTCCATAATCTTTTGAGTCGACTCTTGTCATTGTAAATTGAAATTAAATTAAATGAAAACCATTTATTTACACAAGCAAAGTTCCTTTCTTACACTTAACCTGTACTTAATATAATATAAATATTTTAACAGAATCAGCTTATACAATAAAACAAAACAGAAATCATAGATACAGAAACTTTTATCAAAAATAAGTAAATTTTAAAAATACTTACACACACACACTCACACATACATACATACAAGTCAGCGACCGCCATGCACACAAGCCCCTACGACAAACCTGTCTTAAATTATGACTGTTATTCGAATTTAAAATAACGCCTGTAATACTTCGCGATTGCTCGAATTCGATACACTAGTTTAATTTAATTTGTTAGTTATAGAATGGACATATAGAACGAATATAGACCGGCAGCAGTGCTGTGGTTATCATATGTTCCGGCGCCCACTGCTAGGAGTGTCGTGTAGTCACGGCGCACACCGCTGAAGCGTCTGCTGGTAGCATACGCGGTCCTTGTCTTCAGCCGTGTGCGCCGTAACTACCTGGCACTCCTAGCGCCACAAAGATAAACGGTATTTGTTCATTATTATGTCTTTTATTGCTGACAGTATTCCCGTGGCGGAGCACGGGCGGTTAACTAGTAGATATGAACTAGTAGTAGAAAATTATCATTTTTATACAAAAACTTCCAAAATGTTAAAGCCTATTCTAAATATTTATTAGTTTTCAAACAAGTCGGAGCAAATATGGATTAAGTATAAAATATAAAAAATACGCGAGACCAAAAAGCTGTTTTTAAAAAGATAAGAAATATTTGCATGTTTACCAATCCATAACGTAAAATACATTTAAAAACTAAAAAGCGAGAAAAAATATGAAAACCAGCCACATTTACAACATGACTAAACCACATCCGAGTAGGTGATGTTATGTTTGCAAAGATAAGTGGAAGGCTGTTGCCCTCAAGTTCAACTAGTGTTTTGTTCAAAGCTACGCAAGAAATCTTATGAATAGCGATTCAAGAAATACATCTCCCTAATACAAATCATGTATTTGTAACACAACATTACCTTGTTTCCAAAGCCAGCCTTCTTTATCTGGATTGAAGAATGTGTGCATCAGGTCATTCCCATCATCCTCTGGGATCTTGAATGGTTCAGTTTTTATACTCTCGTATAAGCTCTACAACAAAAATATCATTTAATAATCTTAACAATATAGGGGTATTCTGCCCTGAGCTTAACTAAATAAATATTGTCCCACTTTTGGCCATCAAATATTATGTTTTAGTTGTATCGGTTTGTTTAGGACAGTTAGGTTCTATTAACGTACATGTACTTTTTTTGCAAAATATAATAAATCTAAATGTACGTGGAATGTTTTTTCTAAGGTTGGATAGTTTTATGATACGCAGAGGATACGCGTCCGGTAACCGGACGTGGATTAGGCGTCCGGCAGTTACTGTCATAACCTAACCTAACCAACCAAACTTGCTGATAGTGAAAAAAATCAAATGAAGGTTCAATTCTCTTCATAACATAAAATTATAAATGCCAAAAATTCTAACAAAAGATGTACAGTTAAGAAGAAATTACATTCAAAGCAAAATCTGTGACAAAAAGTTAAAGTTACCGATGGGTTTCGAACCGGGGACCTCTCGCATATCAGTCGAGCACTCTATCCACTACACCACGAACACTGATGGCTAAAAATTGTATCATTGTGGTAATGGCGTTCCGGGACCCCCTACCGGACGCGTATCCTCTGTGTTTATGATAAGTAGTTGCTGTGCCTACACTTGGCAACAGGAATAAGATGCAGAAGAGAATTATATGTTCATGGAATCTACTGTTGAAAACCATTCCGCATTTACTGTTGAATATGGATACAAAACTCAATTGAACCTCACAAAATAAAAACTTATCACAGTGATAACATAGAGGGTGCCATGTTATATCAACACAAAATGAAAATATTGAATGTTGGGTCCAAACTACCGCAAGAAGAAAATAGTTTTTAAGGGAAAAAATAACAAGTTACTTACGACTAACAGTTCCCTCGGTAGATCGCCCCCGTTGTTGATTCCTCTGTTCATGCTGATGAATTGTTCAACTGTCGGTTTTTCCTTGACACTTGGATTGTGTAGACTCGTATTGAGCATGATGATGGCAAATGACAGCACATAGCATGTGTCTGAAAACCATTACATCATCAAACAACGCATGAAATGATTGGGTTGAATGAATTTTTTAAATCAACATTTACCAACTATGTAAACTTAATGGGTAATTTTGTGAATTATTTGTTTGCCTATTTTCATCATCTTACAAAAGTATTCATAGCAGACAAACACTATCAATTTATAAACACAAAAATTAAATTATTTCGAAACAAGTGATTTGTGGACACACAAAAATAGAATAAGCTAAACAAAAAGCAATAAAAGGGTTTTTAAGCACAACTCACAGAGTAAACTTCCATGCAATCCATTCACCATTTATTTAAGATGGGGTTCTCCCACTTAGATCTCCCACAGACAGTGCTCACCAGACCTGACTTGAGTTATACTTGATTCAAACCCTCATCTACGGTGCTGTCTCCTGACTAGGGAGATCTCGCCCATTCATCAGACCACAGAGAAGTTAGGTACATAGGAAACAAGCTTATAGTATACTGTGCGCATTCAGTTCTAGTATGTTGTGCCGGAAAAATGCTTGAACAAGTCTAAGCAGCGAGCAGACTGTGTGGAAATTCCTATTGCACATGGCTTGTCTTCATCCACCGTGAACGTTGTAGTACATGAGGGTGAGGAGGGCAGTGTTGACTCTAGACACCAGAACTAGCGCTAGCCACCACTTAAGTGTACCGTTGAATGTTTCCTCAGTACCTTACTTCTATATGATCAGACCTAGCTGTCAACTATAACAATACTGGTCAGCAAAAAAGGCCAAGCTTAGTAATTGTATTCTTGACCCCCCCCTCCACCTTTGGGAAAGCTGTCAGAGAGCATTTTTTATTGAGTCGCACTCGCATAGAGCAAAAGTTTTGTTTGTCAAACTTATGGCAGATAAATTGGCATACAGCTCTCAACGCTTCAAAGACTGATGAGGATATTTTTTATTAGACGAGTAAATGAAATATACCCCCGCCGCAGCAAACCTGCAGACTAAGCGAATTTCCATTTGACTGATTGGATTTACACTGAAATGTCTACTTAAAAATATAACATTTATTCCCGATTTAAATAGAATTAGTTTAACAAGTACTTAGGTTTGCTGCATCAGGGAGGGTAAAACTGTTTTTTTTTTTTTTGTAAAATGTTAATAGTTAGTAAGAAATAAAAACATTTTCCAAATTTGATCAAAATATGTTCATAAACAAGCAAACTACAACAGTTTACTCATTCTTCATAAGAATAACATGGGAATTTTAAATTTACAATTTTTTGGAATTTTCTCCGTAACCATTAGGCGCATAATAACGCTTCAATATACTAAATTATTTGTTTTTTGAAGCTCTACAAAATGGTTTGGAAATAAATTGCTAAATTTTATGTTTTTTGGGTCAAAAATGGGAAAAACCTATTTTTACCCCATAAAACCCCCCGTAAACACCCGTTCCCATGGTCCGATCATGCTGGATCGCGAACTCGTTCGAATAAACGTAGGTCTACACGTTTGTACCAAATTTCATCAAAATCGGATCATTTTTGCTCAAGTTATCGTGCTGACGGACACATATATATATATATATATATATATATATATATATAAATATATAAATATATATATATATATATATATATATGAATTTGAACGGATGGTGTTTTTGGCCTCTAGGGACCTCAAAACGAAAAAAAAAATCGGTCCCGCGTCCAGGTCTTACCATGAGTACTACGGTAATAGCTTATTCCCTATATGGGAAATTCGCTAAAAGATTTCAACATGACAGAAAGAAAGTGTATTGGTTTTATTACATTTTTTAGTACGGTACCAACCTGTGTTAGTAAATATGTTGGGGTTCAATTGGCAGTACCGCTGAGCAAAGCACTCCATCATTCTGTCAATCTTCTGAGCTTCGCCTGGTAACCTGAAGCTCCACAGGAATTGTCTACAAAACAGGACACACTTAGTTAGATTTGTCCATAAGGACTGTTTTTCATTCCTTTAAAAGATTTTAATTATTTAAGGACCAAATGAATACATTTTGGTTCTAATGTAATTACATTTTCTGTAAAATATGCTAACTTCTAAACCAAGTGAAACTGAAAGTTAGTTCCTATCAAGTTCCATCAAACGTCATAAGGGTAGCCAAAACTAAGGGAGAAAATCAAATTTTAGACTTAGCACATTCCGTAAGAGGCTCATTCAACTATAATATTTTTCAATTAAAAGATTTACAACAGCTGATCTATATGAATGCTTACTTCATTGTACAAAATTCAATGCTACCAACATACCTAAGTGCCTGCACCAGTATGAGGTCCGTAAAGTCGTGCAAGTCCACAAACGCTTTCAACACCTTCTCGTTGAAGTCGTTGCGTTCGCCCAGGTAGTCCCCGATGGCCGTCTTGTTTAAGCCTTCTCCCTTGTACAGGAAAGCCGCCACGTCTTCGCACGTTCCTGTCAGCAATCCATGTTCAACGAGGAACTCAATGCCTTTCTTGGGATCCATGTTGAACTTCTTACGGCCAATTGACATCTGTTTCGTGCGTGTGTGGTTTTTGCTGAAACAAAACAGACAACGTGTAATATTCAAGACTTTTAATGGTGATTGGATGGTAATTGGACTTTGGATGGAACTAGGCAATTCATTCCTATGTTCAAATTTGTATTTATGAATTAAGGGGAAATTCTTTGTCTCTGTAAATTAAGCAAAGACAGTTTTTTGTTTCTGTGAATTTTCAAGACAAATGTTTTGTTTATGCAGGGAAACACATAGTTCCTGTGAAGTACGCAGAGAAAAGTTTTGTTTTTGTCAATTACACAGATAAATGATTTACAGTACTTCTGTGCGCTACCAAATACTTTGTTTTTGTGAACTAAGCAGACACATTCTTTGCCTGTAAATCAGTTGTGCAAGAAAATGTTGCTTAAGTAGAGCTTCAGACAAATAAGCAGGTTGTGAAATGTGTCACACTGGAATCATACCTTATCAGTAGCTCTAGTGTAGAAAGATAACAGGTTATTGGAAGTCTAGGTAAAACATTGGAATTGCATCAGTTCTGTAATGGAAGCTCTATAATTCTATACCACATTCCGGACCACAATAATAAAAACCAAGGACATTAATATTGTCAGCATTGAGTAATATTCTATCAATCCAATTTAAACTCAAACATTTATTCAAGGACTGGTAAGAGGAAAAACCAACAAGTATTTACATTTGTATTTGTATTTTGTTGGATTGCTGATGTTTTGCAAACTAAATATCTGAAATTAAGTTCAATAATTATTAATTTGTTCAATATACTGTGGTGAAATGTAAGCAGAGTAAAACTGTGAGTAGGTTGAATTTAGTCCTTATGTCTAGTGATACAAACATAACATGTACATCCATTTCATAGTATTGATGATAATGATGATGACGATTTGCCTACACACTCCCACTTTATCGCATAATACTTCAAACTCTCTATTTTTCTTATTTATTTGCTCATATTTTAGTAACAGTTTTTAAAATTAGTAATTTAGTAGGTTACTAAATGCCTACAGTAAATCCTATTATGCTCCTTATCTGTTAATAATTTAAGTCAGAATACACGCTGCCTTTGAAAAATCACAAAATTATCTGCTTGAATTCATGACCATTTATATAAACAAATAAAACAAAGAAAATAATTCAAAAACTTCCAAACTCCAGTGGAAAAGTGCATGTGTATGGTTAAAATAAATTAACAATAATAAATCATACTAATAACTAACAATTTGGTTGGATGTTGATATAAGTTTAAATATTTACAAATTCTGTTAGATATTTTTCTTGTTATGCACTACATGTTAGCAAAACGGGAGTGCCGATGGAGACCTGGTGGGGGTGCGTGCGTTTGAAGGGACTTGACCTGGTCTCCATCGGCACTCCCGTTTTGCTAACACTGTATATCTTTTCTTCATCCTGTTCTCCTTTGTATTTTAAATACAGTATTGAATTATCTTTTTATTATATTTGCAAGTATTCAAACTAACTAAACGGTAAGAGGTATACTGTATTTTTCCAATTTTCACAAGGTAAAATAGTTAGGAGAGGAATTTGGATCGAAACATAAACTGTATTATAAAAACAACAAAGTTCAACAATTCAGTTTCAAGTTGTGTCGGGGCAAAATAACATTTTAGAGTTTACGACTAAGTTACAAAGTTAACAAAATTATTTGTCGACAGAACGTTTCAACTTCATTTAGCTAAAGAAGTTGAAAGCAAAAGTCAACAAGTTGTTAACAAACTTCCAACATAGTAAAGAATGGGTGCTCGTTTAATTCGTAAAACGTTTTCATCCTCATGGGACTAAAAAGTTTAATCTTCTCGAAAGTCAATTTATTTTAAATTAGTAATAAATATTTGAAAGCTTATTAAGGTATCTAATTTTTTTATGATTGATAATTTTCTCAATGTAGGTAATCTACATTCTAATCAAATTGCCACACTTCATTCAAAAACTTGTATAAAAGTCCATGTTCTCTTACTTACAATTAAGTTCCTAAATTATCTTTGGTAGTAGTCTTTTACTGTGTAGTATTTTGTAGTTGTATTTTTTTTTTTTAGAGTATTTTGGGTTTTATAATGTAATTGGAATTTTTATGTTTTTTGGTAAGGAAAGGTCCAATTTCTGAACTTGTTATTATCTAAAGATTTTTTTTCATAGCATCATTGAAAAATGGCATATAAGTCGAGAATCGACCCTGCAAACTCACTTAACCTACCCCTAGAATAGAGCACTAGTTTAAAACAAAAGCACAACAATAACAGAAGATTCGAGTTTAAAAAACTGGAAAAAACTGAAGGCTATTCTAATAACAGTACCTAACAACTAAACAGGCAACTTAATCACTTAAATGATTCCAACCGTAATACAAGCTTTGCCTATGTTAGAGTATAGAAAATTTACTCCCAATTCCTCACTAGAAACTTGAATTTTGGGTTAGAGCCAAAACTCTGCCATAATTCACCATCTGTGTTGGTGGCATGTTGATTTACCTAGATAAACTTTGCTCATACTGAACTCTATTCAGCATTAGAGCTCCTATCAAGCATTCCATTCACACATGGAATGTGATTTAGCATCATATAGAGATCAAGTGTTTAGGAAATGGTGGGTAAGTAAAAAGTTTACAAAATTTGTACTGTTGTGTATATTATTTTTAAGTGTTCATCCCCATAAAAATCTATGAGATTTCAGTGACATTTGGCTGTAAATTATCCTGTTATGATGAAATTACTTGAAAATCATATGTTATTAGAAACTACTAAGTAAATTTAAATAAACTAAAAATAGTGTTTTCGTCATATTGCAGCAAAACAGCAGTTTTTAATGTATGCGTTGCGGGTCTAAAGAGGCATTTTTACTCTCTAGGGAGTAAATATCTTTTTTAGCCACTAGGGAGTAAAAAGCGTTTATGGCCCTTAGGGAGTAAAAATCAGCTGTTGTCAACTCAGTTGTAAATTTTGATTGCATGTATCGGAAGTATGTATAGATTGTTTAATCGATTGTAGTTGATTGTAGCCTTATTGTAAATAGTTTGACATACCACCAACACAAGCCCAGCAAGTCGAGTGTATAATGTGCACGAACACTATCATAATAGACGAACTGATTGGTTCAATTTATAAACAACACTGCTTGTTTTCATTAGCAAATTAAATTGAAAACTAGCTAGAAGAAGTTTTGAGAGGTAACCTTTAAATGAAAACTATTTCAGTTTTGTAACATAGTTTGGTACAAATAATGGCGCAATATAACAAAAAATATAGTTCATCACACGGCAAATAGTGTCTTTTCAACCCTAGCTCATTTTTCGAGAGATAGGATCAAAAAGAGTCTCTTTAGGCCCTAGTAATGAAATGTACTAAATGCAATCTTTTAATTGTTTAAAGGTTAAGGGCAAAAAAAAAAACAACAAAGTATTGCAATTGCTATAGTAAAGATATTTCTAGAAAAAATGAATAGTTTATTTTCTTTACTGTTAAAGATTGTATCAATGGGTATGATATGTGTTCTATACATGTGGTTTTTTTGATTCAGTAGAAATGTACCATTGTCGTTTTTTATGATAAACAACAGTAACTAAATAAATTGTTATTGGTGAGTTTGATAAATCAATGTAGACAAATCTTGGAATTTTCGATTGAAATAAAAAGACCCATAGACTTGAAAACTTAGAGAGCTCTTCAAACTTACGGAAGTTCCTGATATTACTGTAGGAAAGAAAACTAACTTCAACTTTTTAACGACCAAAAAAAATATTTGAAGAATAATAATTGGTACTGTACAGTCTTAATGTGGTGTTATTTAGCATCTGTTGGAAATGGTGTTGGGAAAGAAAAACAATTAAAACAAATTTAACACAGAGTATAAAAAGTTATGTATAAAGTTAGGAGAAAATCCTTCCAAACGTATTTCTCACATTTCCAATTGTATTATCTATGTGACGATAAAAAATTCACAGTAAAATTTATCCATACAAGGTAAATGTATACAAAAGCACAAAAACAAAGTAAATGAAATTTATCCACAGTCTTGACTTTTGTACAAAATGAAGAAGTTTACAGAAATATGATATTGTTAAACTTGGCACATCCCTTGTTGTACCGTAGTAGTAATGTAATAGTTGTTTGAGAACTAAACTCTGGAGTGATGGGGGCTTTTAGACTAAAAGTTTTGATAATAAAACACTGCATGTTAAAACAAACATATAGGACGTGACAGTTTTCATAAAAGCTTGGTGATAGTTGCAGTTGACCCTTAAAAATTTAAACACTGAAATATTTGTAATAGAAGACAGTCAAATCTCAAATCCATGTTTACATAAATCTATTTTGTTAATAGAAGAGATTATAAAATCTAAACAAAATTATTTTATCTAATAACATGAGGATTTTATAACATTAGTATATATTTTTAATGGTTGATTATTATTGCTGTTATTGTATGGCCTTCTTTTGACCGCTTAAGATATATATTTTTTATTAATCCATATTTTCTAAGAACAAGATTTCTTTGTTAGCTGATATCAATTTAATTTAATTCAGATTTCACAAAAATTGTAAATCCAAATAATTTTACATCCAAACTTGAATCTAAGAAAAGGATCACAATCTCTTTTCTTCGTCATGATTTTGTCCTTTAAATTCTAAATGTTGTATCAATTAGATGTAACTTGTCTTTGTTTATTTATTCCTTACTGGTATGTGTTACTCTCATAAATTATTTTATACAAGTTTTGAAATCAATCTTAAATGTCTGCTTTAATGTTTCACTTTGAATTATAATTTTCCAAAGTTTTTTTATGATTCTGTCTTCAAAAACACTAAGTGACAGAAGACAAGAATTTGTTTTTCCACTAGTAATACAATTTTAAAACCAATTCATTTCAGGTGCTAAATACCAGACTTAGTTTCAAGTGTTAGATTTTAAAATTTTAAAATCCAACATTATCACACGAAACTCTATCAAAATCTAATTACGTCAAGCCACAACCAATGTAATGAAAACATTCAATATTGGAACCAATTGAATCTAAATCAAAGTGTTCCGTTTTGTTTGGCCATAAATAATTCAGTACAGTAATTGGTGGAATCACAATTGGTTTTGTTTAATTGTAATCTATTCTAATTACAATAGCTAACCCAACACCTTCCTTGCTGTTGTTGACAATTAATTATTGTATGTCTTTTAGTAGACAAAGCAATTTTGTAGCAGTAATTAAGTTTTGAAAAACTACACCTTGAATGAGAACCCTCATCTTTTGGGGTTTCTAGAAAGCTGAACCCTATAGTACTCAATTTTTGAAACCAGTAAAACACACCCTATAGTTCACCTTAAATGGAAAAAATCTTGAAAAAGAGTACATTAGACATTAATAGATAACTTGAGCAAAATAATACAAAATCTATAATTAATAAATGAACTGATTGAGCCAAACCTATTTCAGAATAATACAGAGATATCTGAACACTAACAAATGGGCTTAATTCCAAGCAAAGAAAGAAACTTTTAACCTTATTAGAAATTTCTGTTTCGGCCCACACACGGATTACCCTTGCTAATGCAATTAAGAGAGGAGAAAGGATATTAGTGTTGTGACAGATAAATTTAATTTATTACATTTTAGCTTATACGATTAGAATGTATTTTTTACAGATCATCGATAGAGTAATAGGACTACTATGTATGTGATATATACACTAGTGAACTAAGTAATCAAATCGGTTTTCAGAGGAAAATTAATTATCTACTATACTAAAGTTGGCTTTCAGACAATCTTGATAAGGATTTTTTTTACTTGGCATTTTTTGTAAGTTTTCCAAATGTAATCATTGTATTTTTAAGTTAAAATTATATAATTACTAAAAAAGTTTTGGATTAAACTATTTAAGACTTATCTACCACCTGGTTTGCTGTTGACACAGCTTGATTATAATCTAGATTTTCATAATGCTAAACAAGTTTTGATATAAAAATTTTGTGGCTATGCCGGGGAATGGTACTTTCCATTTACAATGTACCTAAGCATGCTAACCACTGGACTGGCAACACACCCAAATAGCTGTTTTGAATTGCCAACAGGATTTTTTCATTGAATATAATATGATGTCTACAAAGGATTTTTCAATTTGCTTCAGATGGAATGGATGGTGTTTGGTTATAGTTGGAAAGATGAATTTACAATGACGTATCTGTTTGAACACCTAATGTGTGATTTAATCTCCAGTGGTTGAAAAAGTGGTCAGTGCCCACGAAAATATCTACATTTTGTGTTGTATATTTTATGTGTCTCTATAGACTTATTTTAAGGTAAGCCTGCTTTCCTGTAAATTTCCTTAATGATTCCTGGTAAATATCCTATCTTTTTATCAGATAATGTGTGTTTTGTTTCATTAGGTCAGGTTAAGTTAAATTAGGGTTAGGTAACATTAAATTAGGTTAGGTTAGGTAGGGGGAGCGAGCTGGTATAGTGGTTAGAGCGTGGGTCTTCAGTCCCGGGTTCAAATACCGCCAAAATCACCATTGGATTTGATCTAAGTGAAAATGCCGCAAAACCTAGGTCTAGCATGAAGTGATATGAAAAAAAAATTAGGTTAAGTTATGTCAGATTTAACGTTATTACCTGTCATCAGCTGTATCCATGTTCTCCATATCGGCCACGACCTCTGCGAGTTCATCTTTGAGTTGCTGTAACAAACCAAAACAAAATTATTGAAGAGAATTTAAAATATTGAACAAAACTGTGAAAAAATACCCATACAGCTTCCTGAATAGACCTGGCTCATCCATACTAGAACTAACATTAAACATTAGGTAAGTAAAAATCGGTGACCGTGATTATTTTTGGTAAGGCAGCGTGATTCACTTTTTTTAACTTCATTTTCTTCTTTTATCAGAGATTGGAGTAACTGAACAAGAGCTTTAACGATAGGTACATAATTGTGAAGTAGTTTTCCACCCATTTGTTAAAGTTGTAGCCAGTGCACGATTAAAAAAACTACAGCAGCAAAATCAGTTTTTTTTTCAATACGCAATCTTTCATTTTAAATCAACTATCACAGTACAAAAACTAAGAGAAAAAAAATCTGGGTAGCTGTGAGGTCATAGAGCTCAACTAATGATAAGAAATATGTCGGTCCTGACATCCTGAGCAAGGTACCTTGAACCTTTAAGTGGTTCAAAACTGGCCCTAGTCAAATAAAATATGGTCCTGGCTAACAAAACAGCTTGTCTTAGCCAATGAAAAGGCTACATACGGCATATTACTCCATTACACTCATCCTCCACTATTTGGATTAAAATACCCAAACAATGAGTTGTATCTCCTTCTCATTTTATATGAGTAGAACACTGGCTGGTCTAATCCAAATAACACTTGGTTAGCTAATGGTTAGGTACTTCTTTATCCAAAGTTAATGAATGAGTATAATAATCACAATCATCCTTATGAGATTGAAACGTCAGGATGGATACGAATAAGTACAAATGCTTTAAATCGAGTACTGGTGATATTATTTACACTGAACTTCAAATAGCTCTACAAGAGGTTCAAGATCTTCACAAAACATTAAGATGCATTTGAATAGACATGGTTTCACGCATGGTGTTCTCAAAGCAAATCTGACAGAACAAAGTCAACTCCAAAAGACTTAAGAGGATCTGACAAACTCTAATTAACATCCAACTAATTAGATCTCTCTCTTAAGCCTCACTTTCAACTGCTTCTTTATAGCATCTAACACAAGTATGGTTTCTAAACTTTATTTTAATTGTTACATTGTTAATTTTTAAGGATGTGTTAAGTCTTAACATTATTAACTCTTTAAATACAAGGTAGTCAGGATGTGGTTTACAATATGATGTGTAATCTTAGTTTATTATAACCCTATCTAAGTTCATTTGCACCAGTTTTAAAACATGTTCTCCCATCTTCCAAACAAAATTCCTAATATAATGGTGGCAATGCACACAGTAAGGGTAGGTAAAAAGTACCAAAAAGCATTCCATGGTCGATATGCAGAGTTCTGTGACACACAGGCGAACTCTATGAGTGCACACCAGACAGAAACGGAATTAAAACCCTCAATCTTATGTGCTATCTTCCCTCAATCTAGCCAGAGAAATAACAGCTTAGACCTCTTTGCAATCAAACAGAAATAAAAGACATCCCCGAGCAACACTGGTAAGCCCAAAACTATTCTTAAGTAGCTACAAGGAACTAACATTGTCGTCTTAACATTTTTTTCTTACTAAATAATAATGTACTTTGGACAATTTTAGGGCAAGAGGTCCAAACCAATTTGTTTTAGACAGATATGTTGCCAATAATAGAACCCTAAGCTAGCACTAACCCTACATTATCCACCCCTACAGGGATAGTCACTAACCACCAGGCTAGCAACTTTTCACCAGTAATATCATAGACGACAATAAATAACACACAGTCAATGGTGAAAACACAAAGTATATTCCAGCACAAAAACTTATAATATGTCACTATTATACAACTTTCAACTTAAAGAGCGTTGATTCACAATCCAACAACTAATTTGAACTTTTTTTTACTTTTAAATTTTAACAAAATGAACAAATGTGATTTAATTTGACAATGGATTAGGTAAGATATTCTCAGTAATAGAGATACAAATAAAATGGATCGTAATCACCTTGTATACTGATTTCAATTTAACAAAAATCTTCAACTAACTTATTAGTCATGAGCCTGACAAGTATGACAATTCTATGGCTGCAACACACACATAAAGCAAGTAATATTTTACCCAACAAACCCCACCTGTTTGTAAGTTCCGGCCAAACCATTCTCTTCACCCTTTCCGATCTTGTAACTTTTGTTGGTCAACAACAAAGCCACACATGCCACGTATACATCCCCCAATGTCTCTTCCATGAGAGCAAACACCGACACAACTCACAGCAAAACTGTAAACCTCAACAGAATAAAAGCTAAAGAACGGGTAAGAGGCTAGTTGACGGTTCAAAATGCCGAGATAAACTGCTACTGAAGGTCCTAGCGCGGAACTTCCACTTGCAATGACTAAGTGTGTATTGTATGAGATGCCAATGTATCAAAATAGAATGATTCCCAGACCCAGTGGCAAGATCAAGTGGGCGTTACAGAGTCGAAATGTGAGTAGTGAGTTATTTTAATCAGCTGATATAACAAACAAGTGGAATAGTATATTTCATTACGAGGACCGAAAGTGGCATTTTGCAGTGCAAGCTTGAGCCACTAAACAACTTTGTACTTGTTGTTTGTACTTGAGTTCTTCACGTGTGAGGCGAGGCCGAGTATGAGAGAGCTATTTTCACGTACGATTCAAAGCCGAGGACGGGAATGATGGAGCAAGTGCCGGAAAATAACTTTCGGTACGAGTCGGAACGATACTTTTCATGATGCAAAAATACACAAAAACAGAAAAACAGACCTCAGAATATCTATTACAACTATTTTATTTCTCAATTAGGTTAATTTTTTTCAGCTGTTATTGAAAATAGTTACTTTTGTTGCGGAGTGATGAAATAGTATATTACGTTACTAGTCCTGAAAATAAGTGTTTACCGGACGAGTGTGGTCGTTCCCGTGCGAGACGAAGTCGAGTACAGGATTACCACACGAGTCCGGTAAACACATTTTGGACGAGTGACGTACGATAGTTTACGCCATACTACTAAATTTGTACAGATCCTTATATTTTACCACCAACTAGAGGACTAAAAGTCACTAGTCATAACCACTCAGAGGTTATGTATTTGTTTATAACTACTCGTTGCCACCCAAATACAGTATAATCAGCTGATTGGTGTCCGGTAAAACTCATTGCAGTACAGTAGTATGCAATGAAACCCCATTTGATTAAGCTGGCAGCAAACAGCTGTTTTTTGGACTAAATCCTTGCATGGGAAGTTCGTCAAAATAGTGTAGTGTAGCATAAAATATTTTGTTGTAATTTTTGTCAACTTGTGTTTTTGTTAGCATTGTTGTTTGTAACGAAAAAATGATCTTAACAGAATAAAACGCAACTCTTACTTTTTTACATCAGGGGCATTTGTATGTGTTTAGAGGAAACCCATAAACATTTACAAGAAAATAAGCCCAAACCACTAAAACTGTTTTGGTTATGCAGAGGATGAACCTGCTATTTCTCTTGCACTGAAGTTGAAATGCCAAGCACAAAGCCAATAACATGCCTTATCTAGTGTTAATATTGGCACTTAATGCATTCATAATGTGTTTGTAAAATTAAGGTTAAAAAACAAAAACAGACAAAACATAGAATGATTAAGAATAGATATTGGTACCTATTTTAAACGGACTAGTTGTGTGGATTTTCATACTACGCTACAGAAAAGCAAATTTGCTCAAAATAAAGATCTTTCAATTTAAAGTACTTTCTTCATTCTAGGGTTTTAGTAGCAATGAGAAGATTCTAAATGGGCTCTAATCTGGTAGCCATCAAGTCTCGGTGGCATTATTGAAATTAAAATCAAGCTCTTGCACTATTTTGGAGAGAGATCACCATTAGAGAAACTCTGATGACCCAATCCTGAACTGCTGCTATACAGTCATACATGTCATTGCTGGCCGTATAGGAATTAAACATTTTTAACATACTAAAAATCGCGTACATATACACCTGTATATGTAAGCGAATGAAGAGTATGAAAGTGTGACAGATCTGTACAGATAATCTCATGAAGGATTACTGTTACGGTAGGTAATCAACGATTAGCAGCACTCTTACCAAACCTTCAAGACACAAGTCACAGGCCAACTCTTAAACCAGAACAACTTTATGACATATCATATGACTCATAGCTCGAATGTAGAAAGTCTAAACAAATGGCTGAACAAATCAAACCCACTACCCAGTCATGTCACTCTCCATATAGCAAATGACATGTAGATATTGAATAATAAAACTTGCTGAGTCATTGTTCCTAACACAGCACCTGACAGTGAGGCTGCTTGAGTAACTCAATGACAGAGCTATCATAGTATTTGTTGTTTCAACTGCATAAAAACACAATTAAAATACTGGCTCAATTGACAAAATGTTTACACTACTAACAAGTTAATCCTTTGTTTTCAATTCAATATAAGTTGTTACTTTATACTGTTATAATGATTATTGCAAACATTTTTTTCCACTGACAAGTAAAACACAAGTTTGACCAGATCTAAGATTCTGCCGTCGGGTTGAAAGGAAAATTATCAAACAACAATGATTAATCGACATTATCCACTCAAAACATAATCACAATCATTCCAAATATCTGCGTACACTTAATTAAGTTTCAAATATATATCCATTTCATAAAAAAGGTTAGATAATGTTATACCGTAAGTTTTCTGAGGTTTGTTTGTCAACCAAGGATTTCAACATTAAGGTTCGTTTTCAAGCTAAACCAAGTACAGTAGTTGGAAAAATCCTCTTCATACCTGGACCAATGATGATTTGTCATATGTCAAACAAGTTTACATTACACTTTAAGTGAAAAAGGTTTGAAGTGTTCATAAACACTGAAATTAAAACATTAGTCACAGACAAAACTCCAGTCGCTGCCAGTATTATTGGACTTTTTTATTTATAAATAACATGATCCAGAGGCTAAAATGTTTAAATCCATTTACATATTATATTATTCTAAACTCATCCACTCAATTT